CATCAATGGCAGCATATTGTATGGTCTATTCTCTATTCCATCCGCCTCCACTAGCGCTAAACATTTCAGCTTAAGCCGGGGGATAAAAAAGAGAAAAACATTTTAGCAGACACAAAGCGGCGCCTTCTTTTCTGGGCAAACAAAAGGGGCCTATAACCCAGAAAGTAACGCGAAAAAAAAGAATGGTAATAGAACACAGTAAGGAGGAGAGGATAGGGCCGAAACACGCGACAAGACAATGGGGAAAAAGAAATGCGTTCAACTTACGCTGGGAAAAATGCAGATATTATCAAGAACAAGTGCTTTAATATATCGATTACAATTTTTCAATAGCTGCAACGTCTGTAAAAGATAATCTACAATCAATTGCGTTAATATATTTTTGATTTAGTAAGTAAAATTACTTAATTAAAAAATAATTATAATACAAAAATAATTACACAATTTAATAATTAGTAAAAAAACATTTTTTTAACCATTTTCTGTTTACACTAAATAATTTAATTATAATGATTAAGGCATATCAAAATCAGTAATTAAAAAAAACATAACATAACATAAAACAGAAAAAAAAATTATATAAAAAGCCTTTAATAATGCAATTTTAAACTTGAAATTCCATTGTTTAAGGATAACATTTTATGAAAAAAATTTTAAAGTATTTTTTTAAGTGTTCGAGAAGATGCTGCGGAAGCTGAAGGAAGTGTCTGCCTCCTGGTGTTGTTAACAAGCCAACAACAACAACAACTACAGGCGCTGCAACAGCACCACTAAAAAAAGAAAGGAAATTGTAACCCTACAGAAATCGCCCTGTATAACGGAAAGCCAGACATATTTTTTCACAGATTTTAACGAGGCAAAAAAAGAGAGAAGAGGGACACCGACACCGCCGATGAGATGATGGCAACTCGTCTTCAATGGCAAAGGCATTTGTCTCTGGCTATCTTCTAGGAGGAATATCAAACATATATGTACATATATACACCGTTCAAATATGTATATATCCCATTCCTTGTCGCATGTGGGTGGTGTAAAGAGGGCGTGGCAGTTGAGCGTTTGAGGCAACTTTGTGCGCTTTGGAATTCTGCTGGGGTTATATTTGTCATAAAAGTGGCTACAAAGTGTGCCAGGTGAAGACTGAAGAAAGAAGGATAGGTAAAAAAAGACAATGGGTTTCCCCTAAAATATTGTTAAAGAAAAAATATTCTTTTCCTTCCCTGGTGATATTTTATAAAATTCTAACAAAGTCCTAAGCAAGCATCTGCAAAAATAAACCAATTAAAAATAAGTTAATTTTTTGATCCATATCAGATAGATTAGAATGACTAATTACCATGAAGTGCAAATATCACCTAACTGTTAGTATTTGATTTGGTTCCCAGGGGATCTAGAGAAACAAAGAAACAAATTGATGCTATTACGGTAGCAGCTCTAACTTACAAATTCCTTTTTAGTTTACCCAGTTAGCTCCAGCACAAAGTATTTTGTTACCCCCTTAACCTCCCGCTTTTCCCCAATTTAGTTGCCTTTAGTTTCTTGGCCATTTTATTCCCCTGGCAATCGCTTACTTAGTCTGTTTGTTCATGACTCTCCTTTGCCGGATTCCTGCACACACTGGCCCACTTGGTGAAGATATCAACTTGAAAATTGTCGGAGACACGCCCCCAAAACACGACGCCCCCAAGAAAATAACTCCATGTTCTTCTTGGCCCGGCTCACAGGTTTGTATCTGTATCTTATAGATTGCCCAGCAGCTAAGCCAAGGAAATTCATCCATTACAATCACAGCAACAACGAGGAGGAAAACAATTTAAGCCAAAAAGTTGCCACACCCACTCATTGCCCCTCCAACTTTTCCCCCGCTTTTCTGCAATTTCCCATGCTTTTGCTCCACTTTGTTTATCGCTCTTGACTTTGCTTTTTTTTTGCTCTGTTATTGTTTTTCCTGAAAGTTTATTGGCATTTAACCTGCTGGCCCGCCCCGTTTCCGCCCCCGCTGCCTGATTGATTAGGTCGATCGGGAAATGCTAATTACTGTCTGGCCCCCAAAGGCCAATGAATTTTCCCCTTTGGGTAAATGCGATTAAAATTTTCTAATTTGACGCATGCAAAAATTGCTAATGAAAAGTTACCGCCTGGCCATTTTATGTATTTGTTTGAAGTGATTGATTTATTTTTCTTTTGGTTGAATAAAACTGGCATTTATGGATAATTCAATGAAAATAGTAAAATAAATAGAAATACTGGACAGAAAATGCTAAAATTAAATGAAATGAAATACGACATCACCGAAATTTAATTTAATTAAAGACATTTATGATAAATAAATACTTTCATTTTAAACCCATGAAATGTAAATATTATTTTCCTAGTGAAAAATTAGGCGATTGGTTTTTACTAAAATAATTAAAAGTGGCACCAAAGCAATTCATTTAATTGATTTTATTTCTTAAAGTGATTTATTTTTTAACTTCTTAATGTCGGTCAATTAAATTTAAAAGTTATTTTTTATACTTTTGAGTTTGGAAAACTTTACAGGCAGCAATTAAGAAAAGTTAAAAAAGAAAACAGGGAAAGCTGCTGAGATAGAAAACTTTTGCATGGGTTAAAGGGTAGGAGGTTTTCTTCTTAATGCCTTAACCCACCTTCGCCGCACCACAAAGTTTGTGTCGCGTTCGCTGAAGCATTTTAGTCAACCTAATTAGCAACTTGATGATTTTTTAACGCTTTATCGAGCACTGGCAATGATTTCATTAGCTCTCGGAGTAGGGTGGAAAATGGTTGAAACTGGAGGCGGGAACTGAACTGAAGTGCACTGTAAATTGCCTCATGATTATTAAATTGCCTCTTGCTGCAGTGAGGATTTAGTTTTCGGGTTTCGTCGTTGAAAACTTGTTGAGAAGTTGCAAATTAGTTGGCTTAACTTGGCTTAGGGGCTTAACCCAAGGAGGAGGCTGTGGGCGCTTATGTGTTGCCTTAAAGTATTTCAGAAAATCTTGTGCATAATTGAATATGAGCTTTATAGACCACTTAATTGTGCGGCTAAACTTTAATAACGTTAAAAAAATTAAACATTTTAGCAAATAAAAGTTCTACTACATTTTTAAATGAATTAGTTCTTTTTGTTTTGTTGCAAAACAGATTTTAAGGTTTGTATCGATTCTAAAACCATTTTATTTTAGGAAACCCAAATTATTCGCTTAGAAACGTTTCTGTGAGCTTTTGACAGTATTTATCTTTTTCAAGCCAAATGAAAACTCAAATTGAGCGTTAAATTCAACACATCATATAGGTTTTTATGAGCGAAGCGCACGTTCAGCTTTATAGCTTATCACCTACCGAAACTCACCCCAAATACACACAATGCACACACCCAACAATAATATAACAATCTTTACAATCTTCAAACGAAAGAAAACGAAACTTGTTTGCCTTGGAGCTTAAAAAATCAAACAATGAAAGCCATAATAAGAAGGTGAGGGGAAGAATTTAAAGATCAAAAAGGAGACGCTAGTATTATCATTGGGAAATTAGAGAACTAATTCACTACGTCTATCTATCAACCATAATTCGCTATAATCAGCTATCTTAGCCTCTATGATTTAGTGAGAAACTCCCCAATCTTTTATTGATCGCCTGACAAATCCTATTTGCACGCCCAGCTTGGAAAATCAATTTCCCGGATAGAAAAACTGGTTAGGGGAATAATAAAATGTTCTTTAGGTCTTCATTTTAGGCCTCAACCCTTTATATTCTGTTCTTCTTTTATCATCGATCAGTCTTAGGATGGGCCACTTTTTTATGATCATGCTAAGAAGTTTGCTTCCTATAAAATCGGTGACTCACGGGTGGAAACCTTTTTCGTTTTTATACACATTTCGTTTAATGGCAATTAGTTGGAAAATTTGTTCTCGATTGTTACTTGCCGGTGCTCAAGGATATTAAAGTCTGGTTTTCCTGGAAATCGCACATTTTGTGGTTCGGTAAAACAAACAATGATGCGTGCTGGAGTTGGAAATAAAACACCATCTCATTATTATTATTATGTAATGAATGTCTGTGCAACTGCCCACACAAAGAGCAAAAATCAGCAGCCAACGCACAACCATCTTGAGAATTATAGAACTTGAGAAGAAGTTCTCAGGCGGCAGAAGGAAAGTAAAAGACATGGGCGTACAGGCAAAGCTGTTGATGTGATTTCAGATGTAGATGATTGCTACACTAGGAAATAAATCGTGTAAATTTTCTCATTTGGCCTTAAAACGCCCTTTAAATTTTTAATGATATGCTATTCTTAAATGTCTATTTAATAAATAAATAGTATTTATTATTATTTCAAAATCATTTTAAAAATCTATTTGTCTTATACATGTGAATGCTATATTTTAAAAAGTAAAATGCATCATCTTTATTATACTTGTGATATTTTTAAAACGTTTTTTCTTTGTTTTGCCAACTTAAGCTACGCTTTTTAAGGAATAATTGGCTCTGTGTATGTGAAACTAGCATATACTAAATTAAAATAAAATTCTCTAAAATCTTAAAAAAATGCTAATCAATTTTCATTCTCTTTCCCGTAGTGTAAAATTTACAGAAGTTTCAGCCTGTGAAGATTGTGTGGGAGATTGCTGACATTTTATTTTATGATGCTACATGCACAATGTCCAACTGAAATTAAATTCTGCTCCTTAAACTGGTTAAGCTAACAAATTTCCAGGCTGATCAGCCAGATTGGTAATAGATTTTGTGGTAGGTTTTCTTTTTTTTCTCGTGGTATTATAAAAATAAAATAAAATTTTTCGTGTTGCTGTCAACATGTTGCGCTTGTGGATCCAGTATTTCCCAGTACTCAGATTTTCCCCTTAAATTTTCTCTCTTGTGGATTGTGTTTCCAATGTAAGTGCCGACGCTCTCGAGTCTCTGCCGGCGACTCTCTGCAAGCCATTCGAGGGGAGCATCTTCTGCCAGCGACTGAAATCCATTCGAGATCCCGTGTCAGTCGTTATCTGAACGTCGGGAACTGTGGATTTGTCCGACCCTCCGTGGAGCATCGCGACCTAACTTACCTTCTACCGGAGCAAAACGGCCGTTTTACCATCTGGCCCAAGGAATCAAAACAAACAAATCATTGCACAAACAAACCGAGACATCACATCGCATCTATATGCAGATATATACACCGGAGATATATACTCGGATGTGCGTGAGTGGATTGGTGGGTGTGTTTTTCTTGCCTCCTGGCACCGCGTCAAAAGTCGCGCGCGGGTTCTGCGGCAGATTTATGTTCGCGGTAATTGGTTGAAGCCAAAAATCGAATAACCATTAATCAAAGTGGAAAAACAAATCGTCGAAAATCTCAAGAGAAAAAACATATTAAAGAATATTAAAAAATAAGTAAATGAAAAGTGCCATAAGTTATGAAGTGCTAATTATTAAACATAAATTTTAAATCACAGGTACGAAAAATTAAAGTGGTGCACAAAAAAAACTATTAAACAAACAAAAGTATTTAAATAATGTCAAATTAATTTATAATAATTTCTAAACTCTAGACCAAAAAAGGATAATAAAAAAAATTAAGATTTTCAGAATTATTATTATTATTACAACTTTCATAGAAACTCTAACATTTCATAAATTTTTAAAAAAAATTAAAACTTTAAGACATCTCTATTGATATAAAAGTGTTGAAAAAAAATTTTTTTTGTCAAAACAATTAAAATTATACTTACAAAAAGTTACCGATTTAATTCCAGCTATGAACAATTAAAATTCCTTTTAAGCAATTAAAAGCGAAATATTTAAATTGTCAACAAGTGTCAAAACATAATGCGTCAATATTAATTGCGAATTATCAGACAAAAGAAATGCTTTAAACAAACGACAAAGAAAAGTGCACAATAAACGCGTGTGAGAAAAAGCAAAACAAAGAGCAGAGTGTTTCTAGAAAAGCGCCAATAAAAAACAATGAACTCCCCCAGGGGAAACCTCATGATCTTCAAAATGTATTGGCTAATTCTGATACTAATGCCCCTCACTTGGGCCAATGGCAGTGATTTGAAGGGGGCACCTGTGATGACCACAGTGGCTCCCACTCCGGGCCACCGAAATGCCCATCAGCAGCTGAGATTGCAGCAATTGCAGGAGGCGCAGCTATTGGAGGCCCATCAACAGCAACACCATCATCATTTGCGGCACGAGCAGCATTTGCGGGCCGAGCTGGAGGGGAATCGTCAGCCCCCGATCGAGAACTTTGAAGTGGCTGGATCTGGATCCAAGAAGGCCTTCTTCGATGATCCCCAATTGCCCATGCAGCAGCACCACTTGCGTCATCACAATCGTCATCATTTGAGCTGGGAACAGAGGGTCTTTCCCTCGCTGCGTCATCAGCAGCATCGATTGGCCATTGGAACGAGTACAGCCCGGAATATAATGACCACTGATGCACCCACTACCACATATCATGGTCTGATCTCAAATCACTCGCGCTACTTCGATAGGGATGGCATCTTTCCCGCCTGGGCCGAACCTCGATCTACCAGAGGTCCCAACTGGCGACAGGAAGTGGATACCAGTGATTCCGATGAGGACAGTGATGAGGATGACGACGATGACGACTATGAGTACGACGAAGACGCCGATTCCAATGGTGTCGATGAAGAATTGGCCCGACAAATGCCCCGATACTCTTTGTTCACCCAAAAGCTACCGCACATTGACATGAAGGAACCCGATTACAATGCCTACGATCAGTCGGATGAGTTGGATATAGTTTCGAATAATAATAATCATAATAACAACAAGCATCCCAGCGTGGCCAATCCGCACGACAAGTCCGCTGGCAAGCGCAATATATTCGATTGGCTGTTCAAACAAAATAGGGAAAAAGAGGTTGTTAAAAAACCACATACCACAACTACTTCAACGACCACCACTTCGACGACCACAACTGTAAAGCCCGTAATACGCACTGAAAGGCCAAAATTGCAATTAATAGATGCCAATCTGAAAAACCATGGTGGCGAGGAGGAGGACTCAAATGAGGATTCGGATTCCGAATCGGAAGAGGGATTCTCCAACGAACAGTGGAACAAAATCGAGCATGAACATCATCTGAAACAGCAGAAGCATCAGAAGGAACTATTGGCGATGCGTGAGAAGAGCAGGAATACCCCTCTCATAAGAAACATTGAGAATGAGGTGAGTCTGGCATTGCGCCCATTGTTATGAAACTGAGTTTACTGATAAGTCTCTGTGTGGCATTCCACCGATCTCATGATGTCATTAGGCATTGTTGTAGCTCTGACATTGCTCCATTATGTGAGCATGTTGATTAGGGGGCTGTGGGGAGGCCCTGATAAGAGATTCTGTTTATTAACAACATGAAGTAGTGTCTGCGGCCACAAATGACCAACAGATTTTTGGGGCCAGTCTGTGTGTTTGGGTTTCGGTTTCACGTTCGATTTTCATTTGATGGCAGCAGTTAGTCACACCGAAAATCCATCAGTAAACATATAGATGTTAAAGGGCACTGAAATAAATGGGGGTATTTATTTAGTTAATATGGGTTCTGAATTGCAAACATTTGTAAGATTCTTAACTATTTTAGTTTTTATTTTTTTTTAGCTTTTTCCAAAAATTTTTAGTAAAGTCTCAAATAAGTCGTAATTTAATATAAAAACATATAGTACACATCAAGTTTTCTAAAAATGTCATATCATATCCTCTATTAACTTAAATATAAAATTTTTTATTTTTTTCTACCTAGAATTCCGCAGTTGCAAATTCTAGAAAACTCTAGCCTTATTTTCGTGAGTCACTATAGAAATCTAGAGCTCCGTTTATTAGATTGATAGTATAGCTTCTGACACTTTAATGTATTGAATTATCTCTCTTATTTTTTACCCAGAATTATGCACTAGAAAATTCTCGCAGTGCATTGGCATTATTCAGCTCGACATTACGCACTGACCATGGCTAATGCCGTTTGCATTCTGGCTTACAACAAAAGCAGACATGTATCTCTACTCTGTGTTTTGGTGCTCATGTCAAATATTTACACAATGTGGAAAAGGTCGAGGCGGAATGTTTTAGGGGGGTGGTGTTTAGAGGAGGCGAACGGATACCAGCTGCCTTTTGCAAATTCGACACTTTTTGGCTGACCATTCGCCATTCACCATTGCGGCTTGGCTAATTGAAACCAGCCAGTACAACAACTAAAATCAACAAATCGACCAACAATAACAATTAATTCGTTGCATTTGATTTGCACTTTTTGAATGCCATTCCATTCTGTTTGCTTTGAGCTGGTTGTTGACAGCGGCTCTCATTTTATTTTTTTTGCAATCTCCTAATTGAATTTTCATGCGTCTCTTTGATCGCCCTGAGGTCGCTGAATTTACCACCCAACTTGGTGTAATTACCTTTAAAAAAGGACCAATTATATTAGCCCCAAAGCAAATAATGTTCGCCGGTTCCGGCGGGTAAATGAAAATTCCCAGCGTAGTCCGCTTTAGTTTGTTTTTAGTGTCCTCTGTTTATTTTTATTGGTCCAGCAATTCGACTTTACTCCAGGTAAATTGAGTTTAGTTGTCATTGAGATGAGCTTGTACGTTAATGTCCTTTAGCCATCGAAGTCTTTAAATTTAACTGAGAGGGGGTGAAATTAAAATTAGCTTTGGATCCGTTAATGATGATGAGGGTAAAAAACTCAGTAAGTCACATGAACTCATTTCTATTTAATTTGTTGCAAAAGACGAGATAAAAATTTGTTCAGTTGCCAAATTGTGTTTTATATATAATGCCTTTTATAAATCGCATCCAAATTGTTTGTTGGAATTTTATATTCATAGATACTCACAAAACAAACAGAACAAAGTAAAAAGGATATTTTACACAAAATTATATTTATCATTTTATAATAAATCATAATCCTAATCCCTTGTAATTTATATTTTTCCCGCAATTAATGCCATGTTTAATATTGTACAACTCAATCCAAATTAATTCCCATGAAAAAATGTAATTTAAAACATAATGAAAAATTTAAATATGAATTAAGTGGGCAACGAGCGTTGACAATTGAGTGTGCTGAAAATGTAAATGCGAAATGCACTCGAAATATTGTTAACAGCTAAATAAACACTCGGCTAAAACAACGCGCTTAATAAGAGCAACAATAATTACCAAAACCGACAACAAAGAGCAGCTGCGTGTAAAACAACACAGAAAAGAAAAGTTAACCAACAACATGGAATGCTTTTATTTCGGGGGGAGGTGAAAGGTGGGGCGACAGGTGAATTGGCGCTGGGCCATCAAAATAACATGGCGCCACCTTCCCCAACCAATTTTCCTGCTCTCCCCAGAACAATACAATTAACACATGTCTGCGGATGACGACGGCTACTCTATGGGCTGTGTGTTCCTTCAACCTTTTCCTTCTCCGGATGTACTGCATCCTTCCTTCCTTCCTTTTTTCCTTCCCATTTGTATATTTTTTTTTTCTTATGACACGCTAAATGGAACCTTTCTGCCAGTCTTACTCCGTTCCGTGTTAACATGCCACTGACTCGATGCAATTTACTCAACCTACCTTCCATTTAATTGGCATGGTTTTTTCCTTTTCATTCATTTTATTTGGTTTGGAAATACATTTTATTTTCGGTCTGGCTGTTCATTAATGAGCTCTTCATTGAGATCATTTTGAATGATTTTTAATAAACAATTTAAGTTGCCTGAACGTTAAAGAAATGGTTTTAATTTGTATAAAGAGTAATATTGGATATTTTTATGAAATATATAAGTATTTGCTTTGTTAGAAACAAACGAGAAAATAAATAATTTTTCCTAATCTCGCAACGCAAAAAATAATCTCTCAAAAATGTAAAAACATATTTCTCTAATGACTTTCCGCACTTGTTCCATCGAATTAAATATTTAAAATATCTCTAGAGAAACAAATCCCGTCTATCCGAGCTTGTTGAAAAATGTTCAACTTAAAATCCTTGTAATCCCTTAAACCAGTTCCGGTTCAATCGAATGCAAACTGAAAATGGAGAACGGCGGACTTCCAATTCAAATAAAATGCTCTATTTTTAGATTCGGTTTGTAGTTTACGCCTTTCGGGTGCGTTAAAGGTGTTGAAAAAACGCTTGGGTGGCACACATTTAATTTGACAATGTGCAATGCTATTTTTTTTAGGCTGGAGTGTTATTGGGATAAGTTTTTGGGGCCTTAAAAGGTTAGCCTTCGTTCTTTTCGACGTGGGTGGTTTTTTCTTCTGAACTTTTCCAAACTCAAATGCACATCCCTCATTTGCACGGCCCTATATTTTCCCTGCCATTTTCGGAAAAGCTGTCACAGCCACAAATGCTGTCACTTCTTTTCCAGCTTTTCCATCTGCTGCTGTAGCAGTTTCTGTTTGTAAGCTTTTAGCCGCCTTTTGTGGGTGTGTTTTCCTATATTGCCGGATTGCCTGTTTTTCTTCCTGTTTCTGTTGCTTCCGTCCTTTCTTTTAGCATTTTTTTGCACTTACCAGATCTTTGGAAATGTGCAAAAGAACGCACAGTAAGCTTAGCCCTGGTGCGGCGAAATGTCAGAAGCGGTTAAGGAATGACAGCTGAAACCACACACGCACAGTACAGTGGAGCCCATCGCTTACCACCCGCCGATGTGGCTGAAGGTTGTCGCTGCGGTTGCAACGACCTTGAAGCTCTCAAAGCAGCGGGAGCCATCGTGGCCCATAAAAGTGGTTACAATTATGGAGACTCGTAGATAAAATGGGGGGAGGGCTTTTGAAAAGTACTCAACAAAGGCAGTTGTAGAACTTGTATTGTGGTGCGAAGTTAAACATGAGAGAAAATATCGGCCCTGTTCTAGTTTTCACTTCCGAAAGTTTCACACGGATTCGAATTTCCCAGACCTGTTCCAAGACTCACTTCCGAAAGAACTGCACGGAATCGAATTTCCTCTGTTGTTACTCTGTTAACTTCCGAAAAATTCACAAATTAATGCAAATCCGCCGCCCTTGTTCTAAATTCCGCTCGGATTTGGTAAAAATGGCCTAGAGTTGTCACGGTATGGATATAAGTTAGAATTTCCTTGGGACTTATTCTAAATTTATCCGATAAGGTTAATGGTTCTTTTATTAGAAAGATAATTTATCCTAATTAACGAAATAAGTGTTTTGGCTCGGAATACCACATTTTTTCATGTGAAATTTGAACAGGGACATTTGATAGGGACTTTGTTTTTCGACTTTGGCATCTCTGTATGCTCTTGCAGTTTGCAATACTACACTCATAGAAATTTTTACCCTAAATCGCCCTAAAAAACTGACTTTTCGCCCGTGGATTTAGAAAATCGCCCATAAATCGTATCCGCTGGCGATTCGCCCGTGTATTTAGAAAAATTTTCTAAAAAATCCCGATGGAAATTTGGTTTAATTTAGGGTGATTTTTCTTGAAATAAGAAATATTTTCCTGTTTTTAGGGTGATTTGCCCTAATTTTAAGGTGTATTTTTCTAAAATTAAGGGCGAATTTTCTGATTTTATAGGCAAATGCCCTAAAAAATTAGACAAATTAAAAAAAATCGTGTTTGAGCATGCTTAACTGAATTTGGGAAGCATGTTTTTTTTTTAATCGTCTATATTCTGGGACTGCTGCTTTAATTAAACAACACAGTCGGAGGACACCGTTTCATATTATTGTATTGGTGTGTAGCTTATATGGGAGCTGCGTTAAGAGGGGGGCCCGATCTATACAACACAGCCGTTAGAACTGAAAAATCATGTTTGTAAACGAATTAGGGAAATAAATATGAGGAGAAAAAACAACTTACTTTTTTTGGTCGTTGCGAGAATCGAACCCACGACCTCTCGGTTTAGAGTCTAGCGTCCTACCGCTGCACCACAGACCCATCGCGCAAGACAACGAACAAACTCTGCAGACATCTTATTTTCTTGAGGTCTACGTTATATTTTGACTAAAGGCAACTAAACCGTATATTTTTTTCCTGACGACTGTGACAATTAGTCCCGTTTTCTTGCCCGCAAACACAAAGTATGCTTTTAACTCAGATTTCCCATACGTTTTTAAGGTTTAAAGACTACTTTAATTAAAAATTCGGACGAAAAAATGTCCTTAGTGTTTAGCCCTTATAATGTTTACAAAAAAAAAAAACATAAAAATCAAGTTGAAT